CTAATGGTTGCCAAAGGAGGCAGGATACGCAAGATAGGTGAAGGGGAGTGGGAGGTCCAGGCTTCCAGCTATGGAATGAGTAAGTCACAGGGATGACAGGTGCAGCCTGGGGAACATAGTGATATCGCAGTAGCGAGAATGGGGACATACGTTGAGCACACGAACATGTAGAGACCCCGAATCACTATGTTGTACACCTGAACCTAATGGAACATTGTGGGTCAACTGTGCTTCAAAGATAAAGCAAACAAAACCAAACCACTGGGGTTCCTACACACAGCCCAGTAGAATGGATGAAAAGCCTCTGAACAGACTCACACACACATGAGAATCAGGAATGTGGGGAAACTCAGTAGTTAATAAATGCTCTTGGGAGAATAGCGTGGACATTTGGAAAATACAGTTTGAGTCCTAACTCATGAATTAAAACAAACGAATTTCTGATGGAGCAAAAGATTGGACAATGAAAACAATGAAACAATGAAAATTCAGGAATTCAATGTGAGAATATAAGAGGCCTCTCTCAAGATGATCAAAACCCTGCAACAGTGGTCAGAAGCAACAAAAGAAAACACTGGTGAGTTTAACCACATAAAGGAAACACACTGAAATGACACCACAAGCCAAGTAAGAAGAGAAGTAATGAACTGAGGAAAATTATTTTTTAATTGATAGCACAAATAATATCTAATTCCCTTAATATATAAAGAGTTCCTACAAATCAATAAGCACCAAGAATTCAATAGACAAAGATACGACTTGATTCTTCTCAAAGTATTTTCAATTAACTAAAAATGAGAACAAAATATATTAAAATATGTGGATGCACACTTTGAAGGGAATTTGTGCCACTGATGCTTATATTAGGCCACATAAACATGCTCAGTTGAAAAATCTAAGCCTGCAGCTTAGGCAGCTAGGAGAACAACTTGAAACTAATGTAAGCAAGAGGAAAGAGATAATGTAATAGCAAAAACCGATGACATAGAAAACAGAAAACCTATAGAAAAGAATAAATCAAAACCAGTTTTGTGGGATGCCTGGGTGGCTCAGTTGGTTAAGCATCTGCCTTCAGCTCAGGCCATGATCCCAGGGTCCTGGGATGGAGCCCCAAATTGTTCCCTGCTGAACAGAGAGCCTGCTCCTCCCTCTCCCTCTGCCTGCTGCTCTATCTACTGTAGCTCTCTCTCTGTCATATAAATAAATAAAATCTTTTTTTAAAAAAGTTTTGAGCTTTGAAAAGATCAAGAAAATGGATAAACCTCTAGGCAGACAAAACTGGAAAACCCTGATTAGTGGACATGTATCACTATTAAGAATGAAGAATGCGACATCAGTACAGATCTTATGGAAACAAAAACTGTATTAGAGGTTGCTAAAACCAAAACTAAACTAACTAACTAAAAAGGGTGCCTGGGTGGCTCATTCGGTTAAGTGTCCATCTCTTGGTTTCGGCTCAGGTCATGATCTCAGGGTTGTGAGACTGAGCCCCAGTTTGAGATTCTCGGCCTCCCTCTCCCGCTGCCCCCTCCCCACTCGTGTGCTTGCGCTCTCTCTCTCTCTCCCTCTTCCTATTAAGGGAAAATTTGTATGACTTTATGGAAATAATTTTAATAACTTGGACAAAATGCATAAATTCCTGGAAAGATGCAAATTATCAAAGCCTATCACGGAAGCAATGGATAGCCCGATTCGACACAGATCTATTGCAGACCTTGATTTTGTGGATGAAAATCTCTCTCTCCCTTGCTAAGATCTCAAAGCGCAGTTGGCCTCACTGTTAAATTCTATCCACCATTTAAGAAAGCAGGAACACGAATCCTGTGGAAACTTCCAGAAATTGCAAGCTGAGAAGTGACTCCCCACTCATGCTGTGAGACACGCACTACTACAGGCTGCCTATGTGTAATTAATTAAATGAGACTTACTTCTTCTTTGAATCGAAACCCCACCTTCATTGTCCACCAAATTCCTACACAAATTTCTCATCACACTATTTTGCTTCCCTGATCTTTGGGTTTATTCCAATGACAACGTGAACTCTTCCCTGTCCCTTCTTGCGACTGCGCGTGGAAGAGGTTGGCACCACTAGCCCCAGCCCCCTCCCTCCTTGCCTGGGGACAGAGCCTCCTTCAAAGCCATTTCTCAAGTCCCATCTGTTTCGATTTGGACTCTGACTGATGAGAACACCAATATTGTCACCAACACGAATGTTACTACTAGGTTGACCTTAAGATTTCTTTCTCCCTGGAATACAGTCTGCAAAAGATTGAAGTGCGAGTAGGTGGGGCAGTGTCGCAGGGGCGCAGGCCCCACAGTGAACGGGGCGTGACCAGAGAGGGTGCGGCATCTGAGCGAGATCTCGACGAGATCTGCCCCATCTACGCCCCCTCATGTTGACGGCTTCGTGATGGCTGGATTGCTGTGGGGCGTCAAAGCCTGTCACTGGCAAAAATAAAAATAAAAATAAAAAAAATCGACACTTTCTTCTCTGAAATGGGCAATTTTGCAGAAGTTAGATTTCTTTGTTTCTGCGTGTTCATCGTTTTATGGCTTATTGCCTTTTAGTTTTTATTTTATTTTCATTTTTTAAGGTTTTATCTATTTATTTATTTGAGAGAGAGAGAGAGCACGAGAGAGAAAGCACGAGTGGGGGAGGGGCAGAAGGAGGGGGAGAAGCAGTCTTCCTGCTGAGCAGGGAGCCCGAGGTGGGATTTGATCTCAGGACCTTGGGGTCATGACCTGAGCCGAAGGCAAACGCTTCACTGAGCCCACCAGGCATCCCTCGGTTTTTTATTTTAGTTTACATCTAAAATATATAAGATTCAAACTGGCTCAAAACTTAAAGTCGCCTGAAAATCTGTGCCCGCGAGTTTCTGCGCCCGCGTCCCGGCTTCCTGCCCGTGTAGACCAGCTCGCGCAGGTCCGCTCATCCTTCCTGCCCGTCCTCCCGCGTCAGTTTAGAGAATTTAGAGGAAGGAGGCTGACCGACGTCACCACGTACAGAGAAGTCATTCTTCCTCCTTTATTCTCTGAACACGGTCTGTTGGAAACTCGTTTGAGATTCACTGAGATGCTCCCCTGCCAGAACGCAGGGGTGACTATGCCTCTCATGGGCTTTTGCGTGGCTGTCCTGGCGGGAAGGTGGGAGGTGGGCGGGTGTGTGCACTGTCGCCAGGCCGCTGTCCCCCACTGTGGCCCCCGATCGGGCAGGTAAAGCTCGCTGTGCTCCCTGGGAACAGTACCGGGTGCCGGCCTCCTGCAGGCACTTCCCGCACGGCCACGGGAATGAAGGGACCGCCTGAGACAGTGCAGGGGACCCTGTTCTCGTGGTGGCCTCGTTCTGCTGTGCTGGCTGTTGGGTGTAATGGTGTGTGAACGCATCGCCTGCCTCACAGACCCGGAGCTGCTCACTCCTGTTCGGAAAGGACCTGTCTACGCCTCCTGATGCTGGTGGCGGGGCTGGGGAGTGAGTGGCGCAGGGGCGGGGCCTCTGTGCCTGTGCGTCCGTCTGCCTTGGTAGGGGACCCATCGACTTTTTCTCTAGTCTTCTTGGGTTTGTTTGGGATGATGACATTTGCTGTGAAATCTTCCATTTGGGAGTTTTTAAGTCTCTTAGGTTACAGCCAAACAGCTGGATCCCTTACGATGCTTTTAATCACATCTCTCTCCGCCTGTGCTCACTAATCGTTCCGGAAATGTCGTGTCTGTGGTTTTTCCCAGCTGTTTTTGAGCTAAGCCCATCCAGCCCCACCCCTGCCCTCACCTTGCGGGTACAGGCACCTTATTTTCCTTATTTTAATGCTTCTTTTCTAACCTAAATTGATCGCAGATTCATTTATTTTAGTTTCCTTTTGCTAACTAATTTAAAGATTAAGGGCTTTGAGCTTTCCTCCTAGTTCGTTGATGCTGGTATTTCCTAGATATTTTACAAATTTTGCACAAGTGGATTCTCTTGTTTTGTGGATGAGAAACCAGAGGAAATTCCCCCAGGAGCTGATGTCGCCCGGAGCTCCCCGAGAACGCCAGCAGAGCCCCAGGCCCGTAACCCGCAGGCCCCCCAACAACACTTCACGGAAGGGAGATCTTGAGGCTTTATTTGGAACCCTCAGAGAGCAGGCTCCAGCCCGAGCACACGGACCCAGGAAGGAGGAAGGGGATGGGACCGGGTGGCCGGCTTCTTCGAAAGGACAAGGAAACTTCTGCCTTCTGGGGTGGGGTGGGGGGGCTGGTCTGGTTTCTCCTGTTGGGGAGGCGAGCAATGCGGTTTGCAGGTCACTAAGACAGACAAAGGCAGAGAGCATGCTGTTGGGGGGAGGGGACAGGGGTGGGGATGTCGTCTATCCTTAAGGATGCGGCCCCTGGCCCTCACATTCTCAGCTTTCTCTTCCACCCAGCCATTCCCAACTCCCTCCCCATCCTGCTTCTCCTCCACCTTCTTCAAACAATTGCATGGACCCCAAAAGAAAGCATGGGGTCCTGCAGTAGAGCACATGCTTGGACCCAAGTGTTTCTGGGACAGAGCCGGGCACTTGGCCAGCATGGCCAGCCTGGCCCCTGCGGTCTCCAGGAGGGACACCAGGTTCTAGCCATTCCCGTAGAGGGACCAGGGCCTAATGGAGGGGAGCTGGGGGTCCCCTGGGATGCCCCCCTCCCGTGCATGTGCCCAGGACGTGGGGGCAGGGCTGGTACTTTACCGCAGGAGGCAGTTCAGGCAGGAGCTCACCTAGATGCGGCACTGCTCTGTTGGTGGGGGAGGGGAGAGCCGTGGCGGGGGGGTCACAAGTCGCCAGGACAGCCCTGGGCCCAGTGGGGTGGGGCAGAGGGGGTGGGGGGGGAGGACCCCACCTCGAGGGCTCTGCACCTCCCACTCCCCCATCCTGGGTGGTCTGGGAAGCGGGGGGCCACCATGGGAGGCAGTGGGGCCCAGCGCTCACGGCTGTCCGATGGGTGAGCCCCACACGGGGGCGAGCAGGGACGTGGGGTGTGGAGGGGATCACCTTCCACCCATGTCGGGCTGAGGAAGAGCCGGATGTGCACGGGCAGGGTCTTGAGGGCTCTGTCGAATTTCTGCACGACCTCGTTGTCGACCTTCAGGGTCCTGGCTGTGGGGAGTGGTGGGTCAGCCCCCGGGCTCCAGGGTCCCTGTCCCCTCCCCTTCCTCCCGGGATGGTGTGTGGACAGGAGGAGAGGGCCCAGCCTCCTAGGCCAGGGTCTCACCAGCATAGCTGAGCCCCCAGAAAGTGCTTCATTCGGGCAAACCTGGAGTGTGTCTGCCTTATGCTATGGCTTCTCCTGGCTGGCATTTCATTGAGAGCATCACCGCCAACAAAAGCTTCTAATTAGTATTAATCTTTTGACCAAGCCAGTAACACTAAGCCCAGCCCCTTGACCCAGCAACCATCTTCCTGGCCCCTTTCGATTTCTGATGCAGTGAGTGGACTTGGCTATCCCTGGGGAAAAACGGACACCCCCAGGCCCGCCGGCCCATAGGGTGCTGCACGGTCCGATTTCTGGGTGCGCAAGGTGCCGGCAGGGGGTCCTCAGCCACCGTCCCACTCAGGGTGACCTCATGCATCGCCAGTGCCTACCCAGGTACTGGCACGTCAGTCTCAGCTGGGCGGCGCCCGTGTTCTCCATACAGAAGAACAGGTAGTTGTCGTAGTCCGTGTCGAGCACGAAGACCTCGTTCTCCTCCAGATCTGGGGGCGAAGAGAAGGGCCAAAGTGGAGATGGAGTCCTGTCCAGCAGGAGCACCCCTCCCGTGTGCTGGTGGGCACCCAGAGTTTCCCCCAGGCAGCACCAGGCATGGGCATGGCCAGAGGCAGCAGGAGAGGAAAGGGAGAGGAGCGGCGGAGCACAAAGCCCCCGCGGTGGGCGAGAGGCGGGCGTGTGGCGGGACCGGGTGGGGAGAGCAGAGGCTGCACACAGACCAGCCTTCCGGTGGGGCAGGGAGGAGCAGGAGGGCTCGGGGGCGGGGGGCATGACCAGCACGGGGAGGAGAGAGCCAGGGAGGAGGGGAGCAGAAGACCTAGGCCCTGGAGAGGCATGGGTTCTGGAGAGGAGAAGGAGGGTCAGGGTGGCCTGGAGCAACTCTTAAGTAGAGAAACAAGTAGAATTTGCTGGGGGAATCCCCACAAGACATTTCAGTGCCTCCTTTGTTTCTATTTTACCACTAAGTTCTCCATTTGTGTTTTTTATAATTCACCCCCCACCCCCCACGAACGTTGCAATCTGTGACAGAGAATGCAGAGAAGGAGGTGCTCTGCGTCCTGTCCCACCAACCCCGACGGCGCACTGCGTCCCCTCATCCAGCGGAGTCCAGGAGCTCGGCGGGAGCTGTGGGTCCCAGCCGTCCAGAGCGAGCGGGAGGCAGCCCTGCTCCGTGTGAGCCAGAAGACACTCCGAAGACAGTCGTTGGGGAGGAAACTCTCACGGCGGGGGCTGCACACCACACCCGAGAGGCTGGAGGCCGGAGGCCCAGAGCTTGGGCAGAGCAAGCCCCGTGTGAGAGCCGGGCACGCGCACGTGCCACCTCGCCCTCCCACCACCAGGACAGCCGCCTCCCAGGGACGGCTCTGGGGACGCTTACCGTTGACGCTGAACTTGGCTGCACGCTCAGTTTTCTCCGCAAAGACCTTCTTCTCAACACACCTGTCGTCTTCCCTGAAAGGTGGTGACAGCATTAGGGGGTGACCTGAACTTGTCCTTGCTATGGTCCCTCATAGCAGACAGGGCTCATGGCAGGACCAGCCCAGGCCCCCAGGGCCCCGGCCCCACGGCTGCCCAGCGGCCTCCACACGGGCCTCTCTGCCCACAGACCTGAGGCCACCCTGTGTGGTCGGCCTGCTGGTCCGGAGCCCAGGGTAGGGTCACGAGGGCACGGGGAACCACCCAGACGGAGCCGGCTCCCATCAGGACCCTGCCCTGCCCGCCCCCCTGCCTACCCCCCACCCTCCTCCCTGCTGGCCCCCAGCCCCGGGCGGGGGCACACCCACCGTTTGCGCAGAATGATTTCCAGATTGTTCTCGGGGGTGGGTCTCAGCTCCTGGACGTACACTCTCAGGGGGGCGGCCTCGGAGTCCAGGAGGGAGATGTCGCTGGCCGCCATGGCCATGGAGTGCCACATCCCAGCCACCTGGGGACGGGGCCTTGAGTGCCATAGGGGGCGGGAAGGGGCCCAGCCCCCCCAGGGCTCTCCCTCCCACCCCGGCAGAGGCCCAGTCTAACTGGGGCGGCCGTCAGTGAGCTCTGGAGGACCCTGGGCCGTCCACCAGACACTGGGCTACACGATTTCCACGCTGGAAATAACACCCCTGTGTTCTCCAGATGGGTCAGGATACACATCGGACAAGTTCTCTAGAACATTCTGGATCTTGGGAAACCAAGGGACAAGCTGCCCCGAAGACGGAGAGGCAGGTGGGGGTTTCCCGACCTCAAGGGTCCGGCTCGTGCTCGTGTCGCCCCTGAGTTCCCACTGCCCTGCCCGGCCTGCGGCTCACCCCCCGCCCCCGCCGTCCTCCCACCTTCTGTAGGTCCAGATTCTCCATGTTCTGGGGGATGACGATGGCCTGGAGGCCACACACAAGGGCCAGGCCCAGGGCGAGCTGGAGACACTTCATGGCTGTGGCTGTGACACGCTGAGCTCCCGGGAGTGAGGAAGGCCGGGCAGCGGGCTCGGGCCCTTATATGGGGGCTGGGGGCCTGCAAGCCAGCCCCGTCCAGGCCCCCCGGGCACGCGGTTCCCCGAATCCCCCGGGGCTCATCCCCAGGCCCCCAGGGCTTCCTCCCCCAGGACAGTAGGAGGCCTTTTCCCTCTCAGTGGGAACAGGAAGGTCCCTGTGTGCCCGGGGCCTGGACAGTTCCTGGCAGCCCCAGAGGGGAGGCTCCGGGGCCGGGTGGGTGCGGGCTGGCGCTGGCGGCAGGAACACTTCCTCTGAGGAAGCTGAACCTGCTTGTCTCCCCGCAGCCTCCCCTGTGCTCCCCGGCTCTGCGCAGGGACCCCTGCAGCACCCCACCGGGAAGCCAGGCTCATCAGGGGGCGCTCAAACGACCTTGGCGACTTCACCCAGGAATGACCTCTTAAAATGCCTTCTCTTGGGCATTCTCAGCAGTGTCTCTGGACGTTCGGACCACAGGGACTTTGTTAGTGGACAGCACGACTGCGACCGGCCTCCCTTTCCGGCTGCCACCCCTTCCCCCACTCAGCTGCAGGAAAGGGGATTCAAATGCAGACATGCTCCCGTTCACCTTCTCCGGGAACCAGAAGGGATGAACCTCGAGGGTCCCCATTACTTAGGAACCTAGAGGTTCACTGAAATCTCCTGGAGAACTTCTCAGACCCACTGAGGCAGGGACGGACCCATCAGGCCCGGGTGGGAGATGGTCCCCAGAGCTGTGAGAGGTGTGCTTGTGGCCCATCGCCTCGTTTAAAATGCCAGCCCAGCAGTGGAGCTGTTCTCCTCGTTACAGAGGCCAGGGAGGGGTGGGGCTCCAGAACGTTCCACCAACGACAGAAGGAAAGTGACAGGTCCCTGGAGGGTGCAGTCCAAGGGGGGTCATCAGCCGTCCCCTCGTCTCTGCACACGTGAGTTTCCGCATTAAAACAAAACCAGAAACAAAACCAACCCATGATCACTCTCAAAGGTGACCACCTGGTGAGTGTGCACTGGGAGGGTGGGGTCCCCAGATCAAAACGGCTTCAAGCCCCCCAGGGTCGTCACGTCTTACTCCGGGGCTCCCAAGCTCTGGCGGCTCCAAACCCTTTCCCTGCTCCCCCATACCGGCCACCTGCACAGCCGCGGATCTCGCCCCGGCTGTGTGTCCCCGTTCCCCGCCGCTGTGTCTGCCCTGCAAGGTTAAGGAAACTTCCTATTTGTAGTTCCCTAAGAGGCGCAGGACTGCGGGTGCGGGGCACGCAGCTTTTCACCGAACGCCGTTTTGGCACCAGCTGCTGGGATGGCCTGGTCGTCCCTCTAGGAAAAGAGCAGAGGCTGCAGGGGGGCGAGCGTCCGCTGGGGCGGGGAGGAGCTGGACGCGGCAGGGGAGGCACGGCCAGTGGCTTCCGTGGACGGAGGGCCCAAGTCCCAGACACAGCGCGAGCTCACCCACTAAAACCGTTGCCACTGAGCCGGTCACGCTGCTTCCTATGATCAGACGAGAGGACAGAACAGCAGCTTACAGGCTGGGGGCAGGGAAGCAGGGTGACCGCGGCAGGCAGAGGACTCGACCGTGGGTGCAGAGGAGCCCGGGCACGCAGCAGCCCTGTGAGCGGCGCAGCCGGCCGCGAGGGCAGAGGCAAAATCCTTCCCGGCCAGCCCCGCTCCGGCATCAGACGGTTACACGTCGCCAGGAAAGCCGAGGCTTTGCTGGGAAGAGTAACAAGATGATAAAACAGCAAGAAAACAAAACAGGTCCAGGAACTTCATTAGGGAGTTTAAAACACACGCGCAGGGGACCCACAGACTACTCGAATAAATGAAGGTTTACGACTTTGTATAAGAAAACCCATAATAAGGTTTTCCCATTAAAAAATTATCCATGGAATCGTTTTCGAAAATTGTTTATTGTGGGAACAGACATGCGATGTAACGTGGCCGTCTTCACTGTTTCCAAGAGCGCCGTCCCGGGGCGTCAGCACGCTCCCACTGCTGGGCACCGTCCCCTCCGTCCATCCCCAGGACTTGGCCATCATCGTCCCCGTCACTGTCCCACACTGGACTCTGCCCTGCTAAGCCCTGTTCCCAGCCCCCGGGACCCCACTTCTGCAGGGCCTGCCCCAGCACCTTGACGGGCCAGGAAGAGAAGGGCGTGGGTCCCAGGTCCTCCTGCCCGGCCTCTCTTCCCGCTGGTGCCCCCAGAGGACACAGGGAGGAGGCATGTGGGGTCCACTGGAAGCTGGGTCCCGGAGGCCTTGGAGAGCAGACTCAGCCCCATGGTCAACGGGGCCAGCAGTGAGCTCGGGGACCCTCCCTTCTGTTCCTGGCTCCCAGACCTCTGGCTGCCAATGCGTCCCTGGCCATGGGCCGACCTAGAGACAGGGTCCTGCCTCTGTCACCTTCACAAAGGCCCCTGGGTTTTGCAGTTTAGGTGGTGGTTAAATGGCTTTGTTTGGATCCTGTGAATGGATGTTCTTAATTATGTATAATTAGCCCTTGGGTTTGGCTCCTTCCGAGAAGCCCCGTCTGGAAGGGAGAGTGTTACCAAAGCAGGAAGCAGCACATCTCCGAGTTAGGAGCCTGGGAGAGGAGAGGGTAGCCTCCTGTGTGTCCTCCAGTCCCTCACAGTGCCTGCCCTGGGAGCCCCGGACAGGCCCTGCCTCCCCCTCACTCTCACCCTGGGGCCGATGTTCCCCCCGGACCTCCTGGACTCCAGGCACCATGTCCAGCCTGCTCCAAATGCCCCTGTCTTGGTGCCCTTTGCATCTATCAAGGACCAGCCTCTGTCCATCTCTGTGGTTCCTGGCAGAGATGTGAATGGATGAGGGCCCCGTCAGGCACCTGAGTGGAAGCTGCTCCTCCCCATCCAGGGGGGCCCAGTGTGTGCACAGTCCTGGAAGCGGCAGATGTGAGGATGGGGGGACAGCCGAGGGGGCCACATGTGGAGGGCTCCCCTGGACTCCCCTGGCCTTGCTGATGGAGGAAGGGCCACGGTCAGAGGACGGGGAGGCCCTGGGTGTGAGGCCCCCGAGGGCTCCGGCACGAGTGTTCTGCTGGAGCCACCGTCAGCAGCTCGGCTCCTGCGGGGGGACCCGCCGTGCTCTAGACAAGGGGGCGCGGGGGGCCCGCCACGGCGTGGGGAGAAGCCGGGGGGCCCGCCGTGGCGTGGGGGGCCTTGGAAACAGAAGAGTGAGCTGAGAGAGGCCAGATGCAAGGAGCGCCTGGCGTGACACCCCGCCTGCGAGACTCAGCAGCAGGCAGACGCCCAGACAGCACAGATCGGGGTTTGACGGGCTGGGGGTGGGGGAGGGTCTCCTTTGGGGGATGAACACATCCCCCCAGAGAGTGACCAGAGAGAGTGCGGCCTGCCCAGCACTGGGAATGGCCAGGTGCCTCCGAATGGTTCCCTTTGAGCGGACGGTCTGTGTTTCATTACATGAATTTCACCTCAATAAAGGATGGAGGGAGGAGTCCGCCTGGCTGGACTGGAGACACGGAGCACGGGGTAGCGATGGAGACTCTTCGGAACAGAGCGCGCACATCCGTGCAGGCTGAGCGTGCGTGGCAGACTTTGCTCGGACCAGCCCCTGTGAGCAAAGCGCCTGCCAGGGGCCGGAGGGGAGGGCTTCCTGGGCCTCCATGGAGGTGGAATCTGGCTCCTGCCCCACCTGGCCAGCGACTGTCCTCCCCGGGACACTTGGGCCTCCTGGGTCCAGGCCTCCTCGCGAACCACTGAGCAGCACAGAGCCAGCATCTGGCCGGCCTTCAGGCAGGGCTGGGGTCATTGGGAGGGGACGGTGCCAGGGCAGGAACTGGGCTGGGCTAGGCTGTCCAAGCAGGAAAGTGACTCTACCACAGCCTCTGCTGCCTCCCCACTGGGGAGATGACCCCAAAACAGGCTCTGCGGAAGCCCAGAGCTGGGCCCCAGGACCCCCCGCAGCTCTGCCCGCTCGTCCTCCTCCTGGGGCCGATCTGCCCGGGACTGTCACTTGCCCGATCCTAGCACCCACGCCCTGAGTCTCAGCCCCAGACCGCTAAGGACCCTGGAGCCCCTTCTCTGGCCCTTGGGGCAGCTCTGCAAAAGGGGACCAGCTACTTACAGGCACCAGGTAGACAAATGGAGCCAGGCCCTGGGCTCCCAGGACAGGGGACCGTGGATGGGACAGCATGCCTGTGGTCTCCCTGTGGGGCACCCAGCCGATGGCCTCACGCTTTCGCAAGGAAGTGGGCTGAGGAGCGTTGTCGCTACAGAAAGCCAGACATGCAATGCCAAGGCCAAGACCGGCCAGGCCAGGCCCTCTCGTTCCGCCCCCTGGACCAGCAGGGGTCTTGCTCTGCAGCAGGGACCCCTTGCGCCTTGTCTCCTGCCTGGGCCCTGCTGTCTGCCTTGGGGGCCTGCTGTGGCCGGGAGAGGCGCAGGGACACCTGTGATCTGGGAAACTGCTCCCTGCACCTCCTGCCTACAGTGGGGCCGGCCCGGTCCGCGTTCCCGCCCCCGGGGAGACGCCGCGGACTGTGGGTCAAGCTATTCACTGCAAAGCTGCTGGCGCCAGTGATTTCGGAAAACTGCTGTGTTCGCACCGGAATGTGAAAGCATGTTCCTCCTGCTGTGCCCCTCCCTGGGCCTGGAGGGGGCGGGCAGGAGCAGAGTGCGCCCCGGCTGAGGTCCCGGTGTCCTGCTGTCTGCATCCCAGTGGGCCCCGGGAAGCCTGGCGTCCTGCCTGAGCCCTCACTTCTGCCACGGCCTCCAGCCCGTGGGGAAATGGACCCGGTGAGCCCAACCTCTATGGGTCCCCACCTCTGGTCTGAACCTGTCATCCTCACATCCCTCTCCCCGACCACAGAACCACCCAGAACCTGAGCTGCGTGGGGGTCAGTCCTGCAGAAAGCCCCCACGGACACCGCCCCCCGGCAGAGCCGCAGCCACCCCCCTCCGCCCGCTGGACCGCGGCCCTGCCACCGAG